CCCCCCCCCCCCCCCCCCCCCCCCCCCCCCCCCCCCCCCCCCCCCCCCCCCCCCCCCCCCCCCCCCCTCTTTGTAGACTTACAGACTCCACGGCCGATGAAGGAGAAGAGGAAGGAGGCGTAGCGGGACACCTGGGGAGGAATCTGGAACTCTGCGATTTGGTTAGGCGGGGCGTTTTCGAGGGGTTGGAGTGGTTTCTAAGTACCGAGCAGAGCGGTGCCTGGAGTCATTTGTTAGCTTTTGTTCTGGAAGCGACCGAGGTTCGCAACAGGCGCAAACTTACAGAGACCAAAGATGATGACGTAGGCGCCAATAATGATACCCTGGCTGCACGCGATTATTAGTTGAAGTCTTACAAACAAACAAATAGTTGCCCCTGTTCAAAAGCCTTTCTTTCTTTGATGCGCCGAGCCGTGCGCGCTGCAGGAGAGCTCAGGGCGACGAGGTCGAGGGCAGATAGGAGGTCCGGCGGGGGCGGCGATGCGAGAAAGGGGCACATACAAGTTGAAGTTGAAGAATTGGGCGATACCTCCCAGAACCATGATGGTCGCGGTGACGAGGTTGACAATGCGGCTAATCAGGACGATACGTTAGTCCGCGAATGCGATGGTGATCAGCTGCCCGGAGCAGGTTGGAGACAGGCACGTACAAGGCGTCGGAGAGCTCCATGTTGGGCAGTGTAGCTTGGTGATCTGGCTAGTCGGGGAGGATGTTTGGTGGAAGAGAAGGAGAATAGAGGAAGAAGAAGCTGACGTGGATGGATACGCCAGGCAACTGGATATCGCGGGTCTTTGAGGATGGATGTGTGTGTGTGTGGAAAAGACAAGGTGGGTGCAAGAAGTGTGACGTCCGGAGAAGAGGCTGACGAGTCAAGGTCCAGTGCAACTTGTGCTGCTTGCTCCTGAAGCTGGCAAACCTGGCAGATTAGATACAAGGAGTGCAGCTGTGGAGACGGGAAGGGGGAGGTACCTGGACTTTTTTAGCTCCAGTGAAATAACCCGAACACGTAACAATGCGCAACGGGCGGACCGCTCCAGCCACAAGCCCGCCAGCTGGCCTCTCACAGAAGTTTTTTTTTTCTGACACTGACCGAACGACAGCTACGGACCAGGAGCTTGGTGACCGCCTTCCAAAGTTGGGGTGGCATGGGTTCTAGATTCGCGACCAGATGATGTAAAGTACCTTTACTTCAACAGCTTCGTTCATCGCGAACTGACGGTTTGACATTGACACTTACTCAACAGCAGCAGACTGGACTGGTTGGCGATTTGGCTCCTTACGATGTGAGCGCAATCAACTGGCGCTTTCTTTTTCTGACGAATTTTACCACAATTTTGTTTGATGTTCCCGTCATGTTAGCATTGAGAAATTCCGTGTCCCGGCAGAGCAACCTGGGCCGCTTGCCGGGGAGAGCTCTGTATTTCGGTGTGGTGAGCTTCCGGAGGTCGATGCATACGCCTCCTGTGCAGACGAAACATCACTCTGCAATAAAGGACATTAGAAATATTGGCATCATCGCCCACGTCGATGCTGTGGGTTTGATCCTCGTGGATATTGAGGATGACATGACTGATTGCTTGGCAGGGCAAAACGACGACTACTGAGCGGATGTTGTATTATAGTGGTGTAACTCGTCGGGTTGGAGGTAAGAATCTCATACGGGGCGAAATTCCGCGGTGCCTCTCTGCTGAGTGAGAACAGCGGATGAGCTCAGAAGACTTTGCATGAGTTTAAGCTAACGGATGCACGCAGATGTCGATGCTGGGAACACAGTTACAGACTTCCTAGATTTGGAGAGAGAAAGAGGCATTACGATTCAGTCGGCCGCCATCACCTTTAACTGGCCATTACCGGAAGACTGTCAGCCAGGAACGCATCCCAAGACGATCAATCTCATTGATACGCCCGGCCATCAGGACTTTAGATTTGAGGTCGACAGGTGTCTCCCTGTTCTCGATGGAGCTGTATGCATCATCGACTCGGTGAAGGGTGTAGAGGCTCACACAGAGAGAGTCTGGGCTTCCGCACATGAACACAAGATCCCTCGCATCGTCTTCGCCAACAAGTTGGACCGAGAAGGTGCATCTTTCCGCAAGTCGGTTCTTGAAATCGGATCCCGACTGAACGGATGGCCCCTCGTCTGTCAGATTCCATGGTGGGAGGGCGATCAGTTCGTTGGCGTCATCGATGTCATTGACCGCGTTGGATACCGCTGGAAATCGGAGAAGCAGAAGGTCAAGTACGACACCGCACAGCTCCAGGAGGTGCTTTCGGGCAACCCGCTTCTGCAAGAGATTGAAACCGCTCGGGAAAGACTGATCGAAGGTCTCGCCGATTGGGATGAGGCTATCATGGACCTCTTCGCGGACGACCCGAGCAAGATTACCAGCCAGATGCTCAAGAGCGCCGTCAGAAAGGCTATCCGTACGGGCGACGGAAACGTCATTCCCGTCCTGGCCGGCGCAAGTTTCCGGCATATTGGTGTTGAGCCCTTGATGGACGCCATTGTCGACTACCTCCCCAGCCCAGATGAGCGACCCGAGCTTGAGGTCCGCATAGGAGGCAACAAGCAGGAACTCCAGACCTTGCTTGATAGCCATGACAAGCTCCCGGCTAAGAAGGCCCATGGTCGTGTATCTGCCGTGGCATCTGTCTTCAAAGTCTACACACATCCGAAGGAGGGAGTCCTGAGTTTCGTGAGAGTTTACCACGGTGAACTGCACAGGAACTCGGCTACTTGGAACACTCACACTCAGACGTCGGAGAAGCCGTTCGGTCTTTTGCAAATTTCCGCCGAAAAGACTGAGGACGTGCAGCATCTCGCGACGGGCCAAATCGGCGCTATCAAGGGGCTGAAAAAGGCTCGCACGGGAGACACTCTTCTCACATCTGTTGGCAACAAGCAGGTTCCCGATAGCCTCAAGCACATCCACGTTAGACCGCCCGAAATCCCGCCCGCGGTTGCTTTCCTGGCCATCGACGCTCAAAGCAACACTGCCGCCCAGGAGCTTGAGATAGCTTTGGAGAATGCTTCCCGAGAAGATCCCAGTTTGAGATGGTACCGGGACGAGAAGACAGAACAATTCATTCTCCAGGGTATGGGTAAGCTCCACCTGGACATCGCCGTCTACAACCTGAAGCAGAACCCCAAGGTGCAGGCAGACTTCGGCCCCATCGAAGTCGATTACAAAGAGTGCATCACCGCTCCGATCGGTCCTCATCGTGTAACTTTCGACAGAGTCGTCGCCAGCAAGTCCGGCATGGTCTCCTGCAGCGCGACGATCGAACCGCTCGAAGACCACCACCGCGAAGCCGCCCTCGAACCAACTGTCGAGCGCGATGGCAACCTGATCCACATCATCATCGACCTCCCCGACAGGAAAGGCTACATCCCGAGCTTCGACCCCGAAGAGGCCCGTCAACAACTCCTCAACGGTGTCGTCGCCGCCGTCGCCCGTGGTCCCCGTCGCGGCTCTCCCGTACAGGGCTGCCACATCACCATCACCGTCGACGCCGAGGAGGTCGAGAATCCTTCAGGCGGGCACTTCACCGGCGCAGCATCCCGCGCGGTCCGCGAAGCCCTCCGCGAGGCGCACACCGGTCGCCAGGCTGTCGGTGTGATGGAACCCGTCATGCTTGTGAACATCAGCTGTCCCGAAGCGGCAGCGGGTATGGTGCAGCACGACATCAGCTCCGGCGCGGGCGGACACGTTTTGGAGGTCAACGACAAGTCTGCCGAATCAAGCTCGACGATTGACGTGAGTAGGATCTACGCGCCTCCGGACCCGTACGAGAGCGTTGCCTCTCTGAGGGGCAAGAAATCATTGGCCAGAACGGTGGAGATCGTGGCCAAGGTGCCCTTCAAGGAGGTCCTCAACTTTGATGAGCATTTGAGAGGGAAGACTGGTGGTCGACACTCGATGACCATGGCGTTTGATAGCTTTGATCGCGTCGTTGGTTCGAGAGAGAAGGATCTGTAGTATCAAAGCATCAAATGACCGTGTATGATAGATGATGAAAAGTTGGATGTTCTAAGAACATAGGCCGTGTGCTGAAATACACTGCGTTCTTCAACGCAGCTCAGACCTCTATCGCGTGCGTGGTTGACGCACAGCTTCGCTTGAAGAGTGTCCATGTTGGCTAAGTATCAGACGGTCGAGACCACTTGTTGAATAGGGCATCACCAGAAGATGACTCATCGCATTGGAACGATTCTCTTTACTCAGTTTACATCTGCAAAAGCGAAAACAAACATCATGAACCAGAAAAGGCAAAAAGATAACGACGAGGTCGTAACATGGAAAAAACAAAACAATTTGCTAGCACGACCTGGTTTCGATCCAGGGACCTCTGGGTTATGAGCCCAGCGCTCTACCCCTGAGCTACCGTGCTTGGGTTATTGCCAGTCGTCGCAAATTTTGCACCTATGACCCCTCTCGCTAGTGGGGCGCAGGTGTCACTATCGCCACCCGTGTCTGCGAGGGCTTTGCATGTCCGAAATAACGTTGTAGAAGCGTTGGGTAGCTTTCTAGCGAGCTACAGTTTTTTATTCAGGTATCTACATCTATATTCAAGCGTTGTGGTGAATGACCATGGCCGAAGTCGCGTGGTACTCAGGCCGGGTTGAAAGGCTTCGCAACCAACAAGCCGACTTCTTCTGACCGTCGGGCAATGGAGACGGACCTGTCAGCATTCTATTTAGAATTGAAGACTCAGACACAACCGGTGCGAAGTCTCTTCGGGATCTCACGTCTGACTCTGCACTACTTGACAATGATTGTGCTGAACAAAGATCACCAATATCCAGGACACCAGGCTTCCAGATTTCACGAAACAGTTCACGTCAGGATATTCTCGAAGTACATGACTTGAACGTTAAGGGAAGACTCGCAGTTTCAAGATATGGTCTACAGGAAGTTGCTTGTTTCTACAACCACAGCCACCGGTTTAAGACGACTGGATGTTGTAGATCCCACTGTGATTACGCAAATAACCGAGTTTCTAATCTGGTCTTGATTTATGTCAATACGAGCCACCGTAAGCAAATGACAGCCTGATCTAGAGACATGGCGTCGCCACAACAACTGATCTTGAAGCAGGCTGCCTTGGCTGTGCGGAGGAACGCCGCAGTGCTCCGTCGCACACAGGATTATCTGGCTTCAGTAAATTCTCGGCCACCCCTACTTATGCTCGCAATCTTGCGAACTTTCAGCTGATGAAACGCTCACAAACTAACTGTCGCCTGCTTTCTTCGACAGGCACAATCGGCCCTCTGATCTACGCTATTCGCAAACATGAAAAAATCTCTTGGGCAACGAACGAGCAGTCTTCTAGGCAGTACAACTTCGGTCGTTCACGCATTCGTTGCTGCGGGCCGTTCTCTTGCTGGAAGAGAGAGCTTCTATGCGTCGACTCCGTTTACTCCCAGCAGAGCTCAAGGCTCGAAGAAACATCACCGATGGATTCCTAGTGGATGGAGAAGAACGGCAGTTCTCAGTATAGGGCTGATGTTCATATCGGTTCTACTTCTTACCTCTCTTCTGATTATTGGGATGTCTGCGAATGACAACTTTCAGCAGGCCTGGAAATTCTACGCTAACGACTGCAGAACTGCGAGTACCGTCAACACCTTTCTGCACCTATTGATCAACGTACTATCGACCGCCGTTCTTGCATCTTCGAATTTCTTCATGCAAGTGCTCAATGCTCCCTCGCGAAGAGATATAGACGTCGCGCACGCCCAAGGCAAATGGCTAGATATTGGTGTCCCGTCGTGGCGTAACGCCTTACGACTGTCTCGCTTTCGGATGCTTGCGTGGCTCATGCTCTCCTTTACGTCGATACCGATACATATGCTATTCAACAGCTCTATATTTCCAATAGGCCGACGCATGGGGGATTTTCATCTCACGATTGCATCTGAAGGCTTCATCAACGGGGGCAGTTATTTCCCGCCAGGCGCTAGTCTTTTCGCGAAAGAGGATGCCTACAATCAAAATAAACTCAACGGAGTGGACCAAATAGCCCGGTTCACCTTCGAGGAGGATGGTTTTGGTAATTTGTCGATTATGCCAACGATCGAAGATTTGCTATCCAAAAGCAACTACGCACAGGCTTTCTCGGAAACGGCAACCCAAGCTTCAAACTGGGAACGATTGGACTTGTTCGAGTGCCAAAGTCTGTACTTCTCTAGCAGATGCACCGGCTTGGTGGAATATCGCAATGTTGTTTTGGTAACCGAGAAGCCTGGCTGGAGAAGATCAGCCGTATGGAATTTGTCCGGAACCGCCGAGGATCTCTGGAATGAAGTCGTCCCTCCAGATGACTTAAATACCTTATGGTTCGACACGCAATGCCAAATGGAAGGCCTTGTTCGCGACTTCGAACCTTACTGCGTAAGCAACTGTTGGCGAGCACTGGAAACAAGTAGGCCATTTACCTCCGATTCACTGCCGCGCGGGGATACCTGGAATATCAGCGCGCAATATTGGTTCCAGAAGCATGTCGACAGTCTGACGAACGAGACGTTGCGGATCGATACTCTTGTCCAAGACCCAAGTCTCTTTCCGATCTCATACTGCTTGGCGGAACCGAGAAACGCCACCTGCGATATTGCTCTCTCTAAGCCTTTGCTTCTTATTGTCATCATTTCCATCTCCTTGAAAATGGTTACTGGTGTTACCGTTATGAGAGTTCTCGGGTCGCAAGAATCGCTCGTCACCTTAGGGGATGCTGTTGCATCCTTCCTTTCCGATCACGACGACAACAATACCGTGTCGGGGATTACTACGCAATACATGGCTCGAAATAGCGACCTCTACAGGCCTCCAGGGCCTCGGATATGGGTACATTGGTGGCATCGAAGAGCTTCCGCTATTCCTCGGCACGTCTGGTATACAACTTATGCTCTCTTACTCTTGGGGGTATATGCTGCTGGGCTTTTATTCTACATTGAACTTCACAGCGGTCTAACGATGTGAGTACATCACCGATGGAAGCCAGAAGTCACAATCAAGAATGGTTGTCTAAAAGCTGTTTGGTCTTTGCTAACTTTGAAAAGCCAATGGTTCAAGTCGAATGCCTTTGAGTCGAACGGTCCGCTCTTGCCGGCCGGGGCTAATCTTATTGTTTCGGTTATCATCGCCAACACGCCACAAATCTACTCCTCACTATGCTATCTTGCGTACAATGGGTTGCTTACCCACCTTGCGATGAGTCGAGAGTGGGCGTCGTTCTCACTTCAATACTCCCCTTTACGGGTGACTTGTCCGCGGTGAGTCCCTTTCCAAGATGTTTTGATGGACGAAGCTGATAACACTGTAAAAGAGGCGAGCAGCGCGCTACCTATCGTCTCCAACTTCCATACAAGTACAGCATTCCCTTGATCGTATTCAGCATCCTCTCGCACTGGATTATTTCGAATGGCCTCTTCATCTTCGTTTCGCAAGGCAGTTAGTGTGATCTGCATCGCAGTTTTTTGGAACTCGAACTGATTAAAATGAACAACAGCATACTACTCGGCAGAAGAATACGGCAAAGACTCGGCTTACCTGCCAGAAGATGCCGTCATTGCGATGGGATGCGCACCTTTGCCCGTTCTGGGTCTGATTATCATTTTCGTAATCCTGGCGCTTATTCCGATGCTGTTGTCTCAATTGCTCCTGCCTGGCTATATGCCAGTCGTAGGCTCAAACTCCAAGGCAATAGCTGGGGCGTGCCGCATATCCCCGTTGGCGAAAGTACCTCGGAGCTACAATGACAAGCATGGCGGGCCCGGTTTTGAGCTCGAAAGGCTTGTCCAAGCATCCAATGAAGATCTGGAAGTCACGGATGGCTCGAATAGTGGAAAGGAAATAGTACTTCACCGTCTGAAGTGGGGTGAGATCAAAATGCCGGAGGAGTGGTATCGTGGGCAAGGATTTGATCAGAAGTCCGGTGAAGTTGGACGTCTGGGTTTCGGAACTATCTTGGATGATCCACAGCCTCCGACCGAACGTCGTTGGTATGTATGATACCGATCAGCGACCAACCCGGCTGAAGCTGAAAAACATACTCAACAACTGACTCAGCCATACATGGTTACAACGTAGGGCAGTCGGACTGACCCAGGCAGTTGACGACAATAGACAGCAGCTAAGTCAGCGACGTTCCTAGGTATTTAAGACATGATACCGAGGCCTGCTTTCGATGCTTGTGCATGTTAGCGGTCGAGGGTCGGAAGTAAAGAAGCAACTCTGTCACAGCCCATTATAGTGCTCACTCAAAACGCTCGACGGATTTCTTTTTAATGGGCAGTACAGACTAAGCTGGGCGTGTTCTGAAGAAACGCAGTGGATGACGACGAAATCTCCACGTCAGCTTTGGGATTCATATCAGCCAAGACGCAATAGTTGCAGCACCGGAAAGGTCATGTCACCCATGGTGCCCTCAGTGCTGCATCCCCAGCTGTAGTCTGGTCTGTTAAATCATTCTTCATCGTGGTTCAAGTGGAACTCATCGTCATTAGGGAAAGAACATCAAAATCTGCACCTTACACAGCAGGTTACTCAATCCTACCGATTCTATGAATGAAGATGGTGTCACCCCGTTATGATGCTCCCGAGTTTCCGTCTCTGCCAAACCTCGGGAGACCCCATGCCAAACACTGTGAACTTTTGTCGGCGCCCAGTCAGCCGAGATATTCCGGAGGAATCGGTGCGCCACACTCTTCCTCTTGCGATACGTCCGGGACCAGCGGGCTTAGCACCGAGCAGGACCAGCCATGCGGAACGTTTCCCGTTAGCTGCAGAGAAAGCTGTGCCTGGTTTGAATGTCCAGAGGTGCATGAATGGGCGTCTATGCGGGACTTGTGTGGATGGGCTGGGTAGCTGTGCGAGGGTGAGCCGGGTGTCGAGTGCTGGGCGTCAGATTCTAGTGTTGTCGGGCCAAGCAATAGCCGTGATCCTCATTGCCTAGCTCTTATTTTGCCATGTCTAGTCTGGTGAGATAAGCAAAAATGAATGAGAGGCAGCGGTGAGTGGGGACTTCTCGCATCACATTAGTTCTGGGGCGCAAGGTCGCTAGCCAGCTTCTGTGAGCTGCCACCTTGGATGATGTCTTGGCATGGTGAGGTCGGCTGGCTCGTGGCTTCTGCGGGGGTGTCATAGGGCTGAGAATGAGGTCTTGGTTAATGAATCTGTGTCGATCAGTTGAATTCAAGATGAATCGCATTCGAGGAGACAAAGACATCAGATCGTCCGAGTCGAATATGTGATCGTCATGATTGATGCATGGAAACTTCCCGCCGAGGCCGCCGAGTCCAGCAAGCGCTGATGTCTGTAATACCATGACGGCGTGTGGAATATTGGCAAGATAGGACGAGCAGTTCTTGATGAGCCTCCACGTGGCCGCGGGCGAGGGACCCCGGGATGACAGAGATCCGCGAGGCGTTGACGATCACAAAAGAACGTTGGCATGGTTGCGGCCGGGGGTCGAGCGATCCTCCATCCGGCCTCCATGTGGCAGAGACTGATTCTCGACCTAAAAATGCCAAGCTTTTTGTTTCGATTGTCAAAGGAAATCTAGGTAGGTCGAGTTGGGACGAAATAAACGGTCCCTTCGCTTGTAATTATTTTTAGGCGGCGATTGGGAAGAAACAAGCGCGCTGAGGGTGGTGTGCCGTGAGCTTGCATTGGCCACGCAGGCCCTGCACCGCCCTGGAAGTCCCGGGTTGGACGCGCTCCGGGGGGCTGACTGGCCAATCAGAAATCGAGCGCAACTCAGCCCGCTTCTGTTCTAAGAAAGTTTACTTCCTTCTCCAATCCACCAAGCCCCCCCCCCCTCCCCAACCGTCGAACAACACTTGAACATCTCTGTGTCTGACCAATCTGAGCAAAGACAGCCCGGCCGGACCTATCGCGAACCTTGGGGATTCCAACTTCTGCAGAGATTGGGACCAATGACACCAAGCTAGCGCTGACGACGGGAAGCAGGCTTCCACTTCGTCGGACTACACTACGTCCGGGACCAAATCGAGAGCCACGCCGCATGCCAGTACCCGCGTGCCTTGCCTTGTTGGCACATACTCCATCCTATTCATTGCTCACTGCCTACCTACTTCCTGCGTCTACATGGTGAGATGGCGGTCGGGTCTTTGGTTGCCGTTGCTAAGTCCATCCCCCAGCCATTCTTGGGAGGCCGGGGCCATGTCGACGTTGGGTGAGTTGCGTTGACGCATCCAAAATAGAGTACACCACCATCCAGAATAGAAATCTCAGTATATATCAAAGGCTCTCGTCCCTCCTCGATAATGTCTTCTCTTGCATCTCATCCCGCATCATCTAATCAGCCTAGCATCTCTCGCGATTTCCTAACTGTCTACTTTTCCTTATTTCCTACAGTCTCTCAGGTTTCTTCCTCATCGACATCAACCTAATTCTCAACCCAACAAACACAAACAATAATCAAGATGCTCTTCACTCCTACCGTCGCTGTCACCATCCTGGCCTTCGCCTCTTCGGTTCTGGCCGGCCCTATCAGCACTCGCGATCAGACTCCCGCCTTGAGCTTGACTCAGCAACTCTTCCTCGCCGATACGTAAGTCGTCAACTTGCCACAGCAATCCAATCAATAACCGACTAACACACACTCCAGTGCCGCAGACCGCTTCAAGCTCCTTCCCGATGACAAGCAGTTCGTCTTCGACTTCAACCAGAAGCAGGCCAACCCCGGCAAGGGCGGCGAGCTCGTCGCCGCCAACCGCAAGACCTTCCCCGCTCTCGTCAGCACCGGCGCCGGCATGGTAAGAGACACCACCTACTCCATGTACACCAATCTAGCATACTAACAGTTCCACAGGCGGTCGGCAGAGTCAAGCCTTGCGGCATGAACACCCTCCACGTCCACCCCCGCTCCGTCGAGCTCCAGATCGTCACCCAGGGCCGCCTCATCACCGAGATGGCCCCCGAGAACGGCGTCCTCGCCGCCGACGGCAAGACCCGCCGCGTCATCCGCACCGAGCTGGGCCCCTACATGATGACCCCCTTCTACCAGGGCTCCGTCCACAGCCAGTTCAACCCAGACTGCGAGGACGCCATCTTCGTCGCCAGCTTCGCCGCCGAGGACTTCGGCACCGGCCAGGTCGCCGACACCGCCTTCGCCTTCAGCGACGACCTCATCGCCGCCACCTTCGGCCAGAGCATCGACGGCGAGGACATCGAGATGGTCCGCGCCGCCATCCCCGCCAGCATCGCCCTCGGCGTCGACTCGTGCTTGAAGAAGTGCAACATCAAGAAGCGCGAGATCTAGACGGGGGATGAGGTGTAGATGGTGTGTTACAAATGGGCTCGGGTTTGTCAAGGCATAGCGTGGAAGCGTGGGCGGCATTTTATTTAACGGCATATGGCGGCGAATAAGCATTCTGGCTGGATTTTGGTTTACTTGCATTGGGAAGGCGTTCTTGCATAGCTTACTTCAATTTCACTCAAATGTTATCAGCATCGAAAGTGGATCTTTAGATATTTTGAGATATTAGAAAAACACATTTCATTCCCTTCAGCCTATTTCTCTCGTAATGTCTGTAGCATTCTTACAGACACCGAGCTCCATTTACTTACGCATGAAAGCAAAAGGGGGATCTGATTGTCCCAGGCTATGGCCCAAGATATCGAATGCATCGGGGGTGGCGAGAAATCTAGATATGAGTTTCGATGAGTATGCATATGCGAGTCATTCATAACACGCACACTAGACTTATCGAACGCTCTTCTGTTCTCATGATCTCGAGATCGAAGTATGTACTTGACGCCCAAGACTCGGTGTCAGAAACATCTCAGGCCAGGATTGTCATATGGAGCGTCAAATTTCGCCCTTGACACCCTGAAACAGGCAGCGACTTCGTAATTGACGTATCCGCCATGGTCAAAGACATCGTGGGCGCCTCCAACTGGCCATATAAACGTCTTCGGCGTGGAGGTTGGTGGGTTTTGATTAGGCTCGTGCTTAAGAGCCAAATCCAGGCTGAAAGTGACGTTTTATATACATAATGACCGTCCATCCATCGTTGTGCTGCATCCCGAGGTATTGTGACCAGTGAAAAGACCGAACGCTGTACCGTCAACAACGCAACTCGGAAGGTTTTACTCGAAACGTTGATTTTCACGAGTTAAAGAGTTAGGTTCGGGGGAACCTTCTGACAGATGAACTGCAGACCTTTGAACTCTCAGCTCGTGCGTTTCTATCGTGTCCTGCGCAAGAGAGGGACAGATCGTAAACCCGGTGCTGTGCGGCACACCGGATCAGCATTCTCTCCTAAGGTAATACTGCCATCTGGACCAAGGCCTCGTTTCGGACTTTCGTAGCTTCCTGTCTCATTCGTTATGAACTCGATGAAGTCGTCGAAGGTCTCTGGTGATCATAGCGACGGCCTGTTTCCGTTCGAACCATCGGTCTTCAAAGCCTTCCCCAATGGCTGAGATGCTTGCTCACAAGAACGAAGTACCGAATGACCGCTAACTCCAATAAGCCAACGATGAAGGCTGCAAGAAATGATCATGCCGGGTATGGAGTACTTTAAGACAGCCATCTTGCTTCCCCCATCACATCCTCTTAGCCGACACCGGCTGAGGCCTGATTCTGAGCCTGGCATTGTGGTTGCAGTCTCTGGCGTCCTGCTGCAGTTACTCTTTCCTGCCGTCGTTGTCACCGCTGATCTTGCTGCCACCCCAACTCCAGTTAAATAATGATGATCAGTAAGAACAACGATAATACGAGATGTTTGCCCGACCCAACTCCATGACTAAAGGGTGCCGCATAGCCGTGGGGGCCCCATCTACAGTTTTTGCGAATCTGGTTTTGGCTTTGCGAGGCAAACAGAGGTAACATGACTTCACATGTAGCCCAGAGGCTTGCGTCTAACAGTTTGCAGAAATCTGTCGGGCATATATAGTGCGAGATTAGTGTCGTCCCTACCCCAGTGTTGGTTGGACCCAACTTCGGAAGCACAAATCTTGACCAAGTTGCTTCCTTTCCGCCTTGATGGCCCAGGGGAGAACAAGACGTCAGATCAAGTCTGAGCAGCGATACTCCACGCGGGGACGAGATAGATCCATCTCATTACAGAAAACGAGGAATAGGGCGGACATGGGGTGTTTTAGCCTGTCCACAGGGCCCATTAGCGCGTTGAGGGCTGTTGCTGATTACCGCAAGTGATCAGCGAGTAATTTTTTTTGGCGTCTGACAGCAAATGCAATATGCCGCTCAATACAATGCAGCCACCCTTATAATCTGGCCATTGATATCATCTCACCATACCCAATGAGTACATATTTAACATTCAATATTCTGAAAGAATCAAACTCTGTCCTGATAAGCTTCCTGACGTACTTGGTGGCGTGAATGGCCTCACTCCCAAGTTGGCGTCTGACAGCTGGGTGCGAAGCTATCGATTGTTCCTCCTACAGGGAATATGCAGACTTCCCAACACGCGACGCGTCTTGTTCTTGGCAGCGGCGGTCTTCGACGGCCTCTAATGATTTGAGTTGCCTGAAGCTGCGGGGATCGCGTGGGCGCCAAAACAGCTGGTGCAGAGGCTTGGCTAGGCCAACTTGGGTACAGCCTGATGTCGCGCAATCTCCTTCCTCTGGCGATGGTGGCATCTGCCATCCCGGGTAGATGATAGATCGCATCCGATGCTCGGTGACAGTTGCTATGCTGTTGGCTCGTTCACCTGTCCGAGTCAACGAAGGATGGGGCTGGAGATTCCTCGGAGAGAAACGAAGCTCGGTCGCGTTCCTGGCCAGAGGGCACGTGGGTTGAGAATCCCTAACTGAGAAGCCCTGGGACATGAGGCTCAATGCACTATGTCCACCTTTGCCGGGATCAGCGCCCTGCTCCAGAATAATGCTTGGTTGTGCTCAACAAGGCTCACTCAACAGGAAGCATCATCCGACGTCTTCGGGCACACCTCTTGGGGGTTGACAACTGAGAACTTGAGAAGGCAGTCAAACCTCAGTAAGGTATCGGTAATAGTTTCGGTCTGTGGTGTGAGGTTATTGGTGCAGCGCCGTCGACGATATTTGGCTTGGCATGGATGCTGGCTTCACTGTTGACTTTCAAGCGGTAGGGGAAATGGCCCACTAAGGAGGCGCTTTCTAGGCTTCGGAGTAGTGGAGCTTGTTCCAGATATCGTGAGGTGCTCTGCCAGAAAAAGAAGGTATGGCCGCCGGATCGTGGCGTCGTCGGTGCTGAAGAAGACGGTTTTACCGCAGGGGGCATTCCGCATTCCAGGACAGAGAGAAATGTGGTACTGCAACGCTGGCTCTTCCGTAGAAGAAATGTGATTCATGCGACGTCGTGATCCACGATACTGCGACGATTGAAGCCGTGATTAAGCTCAGGAGGTTGCAGTGCTAGCCAGGTGCGGTGCCGTGTCAGGGGAGAGAGAAAAATTCGAAATAATCGGCCGAGCGAGACGAGTACCTACCTTACTCTGTAACTTAACTGATAGTCACACGTGGAAATAAGCTTGATGGATAAGATTGGATGACAGGCGCGCTTGTGACATTACGACCGACGGTTTTCATTCAATTCTTCCAGTAAGTCGGCAGCAGGCTTCTTCTCGAAAAAGGCCAGCGACAGGAGCCTCATATGAGTGATGGCCCAATGCGGAAACCGTCCTCGCCGGTCAACAAGCGGCGTCTCCTTACCCTTGCCAAGACTAGGTCATCCATTGTGATTATGGAAAACTTCATTGTGTGGCAGATATTCGGCCGAGACGCACCAATCAAAAGTGGTACCTGCGTCAAGTTATGCATACTTATGCAGGAACCGGCCAACCATGAGCTTCTCCGTTGGGCTGGGCCCGTGCTCTCATTTCGTTTGGGCCAAACGCCGTGACGCCTTAATCGCGCGGCGCGTCTCATTGGCTCCTTATCAGAAAAGGTCAAGCTTTGCCGAGATGATGACCGAGTCTGATTGGCGAGTCTCTTCATGGTCAACGGCCCCTGTGTTTTTCATTTCCCCCCCGGGTTGACCATCCTTGCCATGGACAAGGCCTAGTTCACCCATCGAGGCCAAGCCTCTTCTTCCACCCTGGTCATCACCAGTCACCACCGCCCCAATGTCGCCATGACCAGCCAGAATCCTTGGGTCCGAGGTCGAGGTCGAGTCCTCCTCCTTCCGACCAACAGGGGGACTCTGGGCAGATCGCCTGTCGCCTGCAAAACTCAATGCTCCAATGCCTGTTGCCCCGAGTCCGCCCTCGCCCTCCCCCGTCTCGATGGTCGTTGCTCGCTCATTTCATCGTCGGCCCATCCTGTCACCTCCACCTTCACTCAGGCTTCTCCTCTTCCCTTCTCTCGTCCTTGCACCGTATCCTTACGACTTGCCCAGTCTCCATTTGGGGACGTTCCGCTCTTTTCACCGACATTCGCTTTCACAATTCGTTTTCAACCGATTCACGCTCGTTACCGAATCAACACGCGCCCACTTCCGTCATTGTCCAAGTCACCGACTCGATGTTATAGCACCAGACCCGACGCCTCAACCCATCGCTGTTTCTCACGACTTTGCGCGACGCGCCGCTGACCGAAATTTCCATCTCTGAACTTTCGGAGCACTTCACCACAACTCGCCACGAGACCCCGCTTCCCATATGAAGCTCACTACTCTTCAGGCCGTCCTCGGCTCGGCCTTGGTGTTGCTGTCCGCTCAGCCGGCTACCGCTCACGAGTCTTCCCACCGCCATCTTCACAAGGCAAGGCCTGCGCGTGGCCCTGTTGAGGAGATTCAGCAACTCGCTGAGAGGGAGGTAATCAAGAGGACTGCTGACGGCAAGGCTATTTGCAGCCTCCCCAGTGATGGCGACTTGGTTAGGGTTCCCGGTGCCTCTAACAATGGCTTCGCGATGAGCCCCGATCAAGTCTGTACTGAGGGTTCTTACTGTCCTATTGCTTGCAAACCTGGCAAGGTTATGGCGCAATGGGACCCGGATTCGTCCTACGGTACCACTTCTCGCATGGTGAGATTCTCTCGGGCATTCCTACTTTTGTTTCAACCACTGACCAGGCCAGAATGGTGGCCTCTACTGTGGCTCTGATGGCAAGGCCACCAAGCCAATTAAGGGCTCCCCCTACTGCGTTGACGGCGCCGGCACCCTTGAGGTCTTTAATAAGTGCGGCAAGACTCTGTCGTTCTGCCAGACCGTTCTTCCTGGCAATGAGGCGATGCTCATTCCGAGCGTCATTGACAGGTCTATTACCCTCGCTGTTCCCGACCCCAGCTACTGGTGTGGCACGGCTGCTCAGTGAGTGCCCAGGTTTCTTGTCGAATTTCCAAAACTGACCGTTCCAGCTATTATGTCAACCCACCCGGTGTCACAGATGAGGGCTGCATCTGGGGTGATCTGTCTAAACCAGTTGGTAACTGGGCTGCCTACGTCGCCGGAGCAAACCAGATTCAAGACGGCAGTACCTACGTCACCATCGGCTGGAACCCCATCTGGTTAGGTGTTGCCACGCTGACGAACACGAAGCCTACGTACGGCCTCAAGATCGAGTGCCCTGATAAAGGCTGCAAAAATGACCCTTGCACCATTGACCCCTCTTCCACTGCCATTAACGAAGTCAAAGCCGACAAAGTGGGTACCGGAGCTGGCGACGCCAAGTTCTGCGTTGTCACTGTCGACAAGGGCAAGAAGGCTCGCATCACCGTCTTCCCTCTCGACGGCTCCGGCGGCGACGACTCCGGCGAGAAGAAGGACGATAGCAAAAAGGATGAGAAGAAGGAAGACAAGGTGGAAATCAAGGTTGCCAAGTCTACGCCTTCGCCAACCCCCACTCCTACGCCTACGCCTACGCCTACGCCTACCCCGACGCCGTCCTCCTCCGCGGCCCCGGACTCGACCAGCTCCAAGGCAAAATCGTCCAGCTCATCTGCCTCATCCTCTACTCCGACTCCCACTGTTATCCCGGGTATGTTCCACGAGAACGACACGACCACGACGGCATCCGAGGATTCCAAGATTACCACCCTCGAGCCCACTGCTGCCTCCACAACCGAAGAAGCCGCCCCCGCGACAACTTCCAAAGAGAATGAGGGTGTCAGGCAAGGTGGTGGCGCCATTGCCGGCCTTATCATTGCGTTTGTCGCCGCCACCTTCTTGTACTGATGGCCCTCCGACTTCAGAAGGCCCTTCTTCGTTTCATTCCAGCCAGCAGCAGCTAGTTTCTCGCTTCAACGTTCCACGCTTGTCAACTCGATACAGCGTCGTTTACTGCTACACTGCTACTCGCCGACCTCGATGTCTCGGACCGAGTCCGCTCGGTCGGATGTATCTTCCTGCTCAAGGGCAACCCGCTTGCCACGCACCATTCTCGCTGCTGGCTCTTCTTCACTTCACCCCGTCGCTTACGAACATACGACAAACTTTACATATACGCCGACAGCAGATGGCGACTTCATCTTTTTGACGCATATCTCGGAATCCCGCGATCATATTGCGGCAGTTTAGTGTTTATTGTTTTTAGCGATCTCGCGCCAACGGCGCGAGCTGGCAAAGGCATTCTTCCGGGCCCTGTTACCCGGCCTCCCGTCAAAGGGAGGCACTTACAACACTTTTGGATCGGCTTGCTTCTCATATACCCATTTACGTCCGCATTATTACTAGTATTATTTCGTTTATATCTTTCGAGAACACGTGGAGGAAGACATGTGAAATGGAAACATCAGTCATGACATGACATGAAGGGGGTGGAGGTGGCCTTGGACTGGAAAATCTACTTCTTGAAAGGGGAAGCTTTGTAGGACAGCTGGCTTGGGGTCAGAAGAGTAGTGGATGAGACATGGAGAAGATGAGATTTGAGGAATGAGACACAGTGACTCGTGTGTTGAATCCAATCTACCCAAATTCGCTCGCCTGGCTGGTTTTGCCAGATGGACGGACTTGATAGACAGGCCCTGCCATTAGATGGGCGAACAATATGAACGATTCCAAGTCAAAAGTTTTCGCCTTGTCCATGCGCTCGCGGATGCTTGTACGCTGAGTATTACTTGAATATCTGTCTCAGCTACCTGTCCAAGTAGCCCCTCGCGTCAATTGTCAACTGGGTATCATTTCTTTCTCAATCTCGTACTATCACTCCCCTCTTTACTGGCGGGAGTTCTTTCAACCCTTCACCCACCCAGGCACGTCGTCCAGATCAACATCCTCCTCGTACCCCCTCTCCTTGACAGCGACCCACGGCGTCGGCCACCCGGCCAGCAGGGGGCTCTTCTTGGTCGCGCCCATGACGGCAAAACGCCCCTGCGAGTGCGCAATGTACCCGTGCATGAAGCCCAGCTGGATCAGCACCGCGACGTTCATCTCGACGTCGTCCATCTCCACGGGGCTGTTGCCCCAGACCAGGCCCTCGTTGGGGCGGAGCTTCTTGGGGCCCCCCGGCGGCGGGACGAGCGTCGACGTCGCGTCGTGGGAGACGGCCTTCATGAAGGCCGGCGTGGCGTTGGACGGGCGCTGGTGGTGGTGCTTCGAGGGGATGTAGCCCTCGAGCCGCCGCTGGAGGTACGTCGCGGTCGTGTGCAGGTCTGTCAGGTCTAGCGTGGCGGCGCGGCGGGAGGGCGCCGCCGCCGCCGCTGCGGGGTTCGCCGTGTCGTCTGGGCCGGGCGAGTAGGTGAGCAGGAACGTCTTCCTGGCGAGGGAGCGCCACAGCAGAGGGCGGAGGCGGTGCGTCAGGACCAGGAGCAGGCCCTTGTCGAAGAGCCACTTCTCGTGCGCCGCGAGGGTGGTCTGGAGGAGGACGAAGTCGCCCTTGCGGATCGCCTGGGCGAGGGGGTGGAAGATCGGGGCCAGGGTCGCGGCCTCGGGGCGCGATAGGAGGAGACCGGAGGGGAGGCGGCCGAGGAGCAGGTTGCAGGGGATCAGGTAGCTCAGGACGAGGCAGCGGTGGGATTGCAGGGATGGAGGGATCTGGAGGTAGGCCTCCTCGAGGCAGAGGGCGGCGCGGAGGAAGTGGCAGTTTGCGAGGTTGAAGCGGCCCAGGTAGTAGAGGAAGGTGACGCGCTGTGCGGCCGGGTAGAGGGATAAGGGGGGAGAGTTTGTGGAGATGTTTGTGAAGATTTGTTTTGCGAGGTGTGTTCTCCGGCACTTATATCACTGGCTGTCAGCATCTGGTTCGTCCCATGCACACGAACTTTGGGCAACTACGGGGACAGAGACATACGGCGAAGAGGAGCTTCAGGACGAGGTTGGCAAACATGTAAACGCCGACCTTTTTGCCCTCGGGCTTGCTGTAGCGGGTGCTGGAACGGTCCGTGAGGCAGGTGGTGAAGATCTTCTGGATGATCTCGGCCGAGGTCTCCGCGATGGATTTGCGGTCGTCGGCGTCGACGTTGCGGATCTTGCGCGTCAGGTCCGGCCGCTTGCTGAGCATCATCGTCAGGCGGGACAGGGACTCGCAGAGGGACATTGCTGTTTTGAGAAGCATGCCGCCGTAGGTCGGGTGGGCGAAGGCGGTGCTGCAGGAACTGAGTAATGATGTTAGCTTTGGTTCATTTTTAGGAATTTTGATGTAGCATCTCATCGAATTGTCGAAACTGAATGAAGTTTTGTGAGATTGAGTGAGATGATAAGAGAGAAACTCACTTCACCAGCCCGCTTAAGAGGGTATGCGCGCTTAGCAAATCATCATAATCGACGTCGCGCCAGAAGAGCATGTAGTCCTTCATGAAGGTCACGAAGCCCGGCCAGGGCGAGCCTTGGCCCTCGGGCACGTCGTCCTCTTCCGGGAGGCATTTCTCGATGGTGTCCTCGAGGCCGCTCCCCGAGCGGAACTGGTTGCGGAGCTCGGCGGCGAGTTGGTGGTACTGCTGGTTGGCGTTGGGCTCGACGAGCAGCCAATTGCGGAGCTCGTCGCTGTTCTGGGCGCGGACGAAGGTGCGGATCTGGGTGAGGAACTGGACTAGGAGGGCCATTGCGTGGGTTGTTTGGCCTTCCTCGCGAGTCGAAGTTGCGGGCGGCGCGGGCGGGAGACACGTGAGCGCGGTTGTGAGTGAGAGAGGTCGCGATGTGATGAGACCCGGGAGAGGTTAAGGTAAGGTGTGAGGTGGGTTCTTCGGTGAGAGGGGACAGGGGTGTGGCGTTTCGGTGAGGTTGGTGCTCCATTGCCCCACCAGGACCCCATGAACACTGAATTCCATTCTCCCGTCAAGATATCACCCACGCAACCAACATTTCTCACCATCACCGAAGCCGCTAATCATGGGGTTCTTAAGGTCAGTCTAAGGGTTTGTGCTTTTTTGCATATGTGGGTTATTCATGTACAAATGTACGCCGCCCAATAATCCTGCGCCTAAAAACTGTCGCTCTCCCGCGTCTGAGCGCTACCCAACTCAAAGTTGCATCTTGCAGCTAAACATGCAGCCTCCGTCCTGAACCCGAGCTGCACCTAACCAGTGCTAGGACACTGACGTCCGATCTTATCATCTTCTACACAGACTCGACGCGCTGCACGACCAGAGCGGTAGCGGCACCTCCTCCGTTGCAGATCGCGGCAACGCCGTATTCGCCGGGCTTCAGCTGGTGCAGCAGCGTAACGAGAATTCTCGATCCGGAGCTTCCTAGGGCGTGGCCGAGGGAGATGGCGCCACCAAGGGGGTTGACACGAGCGCCTTCCAATCCGAGAATCTATAGCAGTCACAGTCAGCAAGAAGTATGCTTCGTTGTCAGTTAAGAAGCACTCACCTTCTCATTGGCCTTGATCACAGCGGCAAAGGCCTCATTGAACTCCCAAACGGCCACCTGGTCCTTGGTGATGCCGGCTCTCTCCAGCGCGATCGGCACCGCCTTGGCCGGGGCGATCGGGAAGTCAATGGGGTCAACCGCTGCATCCGCCGAGCCGCAAATCTTGGCCAAAACTCGAGAACCGGATCCGTACTGTTGCGCGATCTCCTTGCTTCCCAGAACCAGTGCGCTTGCACCATCGTTCAGCGTGGAAGAGTTGGCGGCGGTGACGGTACCCGTGCCATCGCGCACAAAGGCGGGCTTCAGAGTGGGGACCTTGTCAAGCTTGACATCAAGGTAACCCTCGTCGACCTCAACAACGGTGTCTCCTTTCCTTCCGGGGACCGTGACGGGAACAATCTCCTCGGCAAACGCCTTTGCCTTCCATGCGGCCTGAGCGCGCTCGTAGGACTGAATCGCATACTGGTCCTGCATCTCGCGGGTGATCTCGTACTTTTTGGCCGTGTTTTCGGCGCAGTTACCCATGTGGAATTTGTCGTAGACGTCGGTGAGACCATCCTTGATCAAGCCATCCTCCATCTGTACGTGTCCGAAAGGGGGAAGACTCGACGATCTGGGGACGTAGTACGGCACTTTTGACATGTTCTCCATGCCTCCGGCGATCTGGGCCTCAGCCAGACCTAGTTGGATGTTCTGCGCGGCAAAGACGACCGCCTTCAGACCTGATGCGCACACTTTGTTGATGGTGATGGCCTCGACACTGGACGGAAGACCCGCGAAGATCAAGGCCTGCCGAGCCGGCGCCTGTCCGACCGATCCTTGCAATACGTTGCCCATGTAAACGTCGGAGATCTTGGAGACGGGGACTTTGGACTTTTCGAGGGCGGACTTGATGGCGACGGCGCCGAGCTTCGGCGCGGGGACGCTCGTGAAAGATCCATTGAACTTGGGAATATGTCAGTCCATTGATCTCAAGCTGTGGGCTTACTGCGAAATCCAACCTTTGCCGTTGGCGTTCTGGAAGCACTGAGGATGTATGCGTCGCGAATCTCTTGCCTCAAGGCAGATCTCGTGGAGAACTGGCGAGCGGCGGCTTGTTTGGCGAATAGGCTCGGAAGCCTCGAGGATTGTCTCAAATACATGGTGACACGGGTGACGAATGACCTAGAAAAGGATTGACAAACGACGGCGGCTTGAGACGATCTAACGGGTACAGAAATAGATGGGATGGCTGCAGCTATTTCACAGAGGGATGGAAGCGGCGGCGAACATGTGGAAGGGCGCGGGCGGTAATAGCTTACCCGATGTGAGTTCCCTTCTTACCCCAGGTATGCTGCGGGCTTCCTCGGCTTAAGGAGGGGGAGCGTGCGGGCGGGGCCGAGCTCTGTCGGTGACTTCACCCCCAAACCCCAGGTTGAGGTTGCAGTCTTGTTGCGGCGGCAGGTATTTCGGAAGGTCACTTATGAACCGAGTCCCCCACCCCGGGCCGTGGGATTATTTTGTGTCGCAGACAGTCAGTTTTCTGCAGCTGCATCCCGACTGCTCCCCGGGATGCCGGAACGGCGGAACATCGCGGCATGTGCTTTTCAATTCCGAAGGGCGTGATGGCCAACCTTTAATAATTGTCATGTTCCCGATCTCAACGCAGTCTCAAGCCAAGTTGAGTCATCCCACCAAGGACGTCTGTGGCCTTGAATTTCTATCTCATTATAAATCATCAGTCATCCGAAGCGAGAAGACGATTGGTCAGCAACATGACGAAGAGGCGATATTGAGGCTGTTTGCCTTGACAGCATCAGAAGCCAAAAAGAGGCCATCTCGAGACTCGCAGAGTGTCACTGAGAATGCTCGAGTCGTGTGCGCACTGGTCCCCGGGGTCCACTCCAGCGTTGGTTTGGTCTCGTCTGATTCGCGCTGAATTTCCACGGTTTTGATTGGTCGTAATAAGAAGGACCCACCCATCGGCCTAAGCGGCAGGCGGTGGTGAGTGCTTCCCGCGCCATCCTCTTGGGCTGTGAATTCAATGGCCTACGTCTTGCCTCTCCATCATCGTAACCTCATCTCTGCAAAGCCCCGGATTCGTAGCATTTGAGCATCAAAAACCAGACATTCGGATTTACGCCAACGCCTCTTGAGCCTTCTCTCTGGTCCTGTCCCATCGTTTTGCGACAGCCACATCGCAGGCCTCCGACCCATCAGTCTTGATAATCAGTTTCCGACCGCCACCATGTCCACCGCCGCTCGACGTCGCTTGATGCGTGACTTCAAGGTGAGTGATGATGGTCTTACGATACTCTCAGGAGTCATCACAACTGACAACGTCGGCAGCGCATGCAAACCGACCCTCCCGCTGGTGTCTCTGCTTCGCCAGTGCCCGACAACGTCATGACTTGGTATGCCATACGAGCGATCGACTGCACCCTTTGCCACGACATCACTGACAGAAGGCTCCAGGAACGCCGTCATCATCGGACCCGCCGACACACCTTTCGAAGATGGGACATTTAGGCTCGTTATGCAATTCGAGGAGCAGTACCCGAACAAGCCACCCGCGGTCAAATTCATCAGCCAGATGTTCCACCCGAATGTCTACGCTACCGGAGAACTCTGCCTGGATATCCTGCAGAACAGGTGGAGTCCCACATATGACGTCGCTGCCGTCTTGACGAGCATTCAGAGGTAAGGCGATATTCGCAGCGCAGGAATCGTACGTCGGCTGACAGTCGCAAGCTTGCTGAACGACCCCAACACCGGCTCTCCAGCGAACGTGGAGGCTTCAAACTTGTATAAGGACAACCGTAAGGAGTATACCAAGCGGGTTAGGGAGACGGTGGAGAAGAGCTGGGAGGACTAGATTGCAATGATACCACACAAACACACAAACAACACACGTACGACTTATGATCAACATCCACAGCCTCGCAGCTGCAGCAGCAGGGTATATGGCCGGCCAAGGGCGGATAACAGGCGGCAAGGCTGCGTCTTGGCACGAAAGGCCAAACGGGTTTGAATGTGTCAAGGCTCCTACTGCGTATGACACGGCGATATCCAGGGCTGACCAGACACATGTCTTGGTTTGGCTCGCATTAAGCAGCTGGGGCATCTGATGAGGTGGGAGTGGGGGGTTTTGGCGTTTCGGCTCGTGCTGTCCTCTCTGAATGGCTTTGGGGGGCGACCCCATGTTGCGGTTGGCGTTTCGCGGTCGTGCTTCTTGTCGGTGACGTTCGTCCTCATCTGGCTTTACAGGGGAGTTCGCGGGAGGCGCATATGGATAGCGAAATACCAAATCTATTGTCCATGATGCGGCCCGAAGGTTTTGTTTATTATGTTCGTGACTAACCACTGCGAGAGCGGAGCAGCCCACCCAAAACTCAGCAGACAACAGGGAACCAACCGTGCAAAGACGCCAACTTTCATCTTGGGCCTGTCGCGTGCTCGGCCGGTGTCCCTAGTGCGCAATGCGCCAGGCCGTCTGTTGTGAAAGAATCAGGGAAGGGATGGCTTATTTGACAACCCGAAGAGAACGCCTAGCATTCTCGAGTGCCTTGGGCACGGAATGTGTCACACAGCATAGAAGTGAAATGCAAAGTCGACGAAAGCGAAGCCAAAAAGTGTGCTCATATGTAGAGAGTCTTGAATAAAAAAGGGGTGATGCACGCAGACGGCGATGGTAACGCAGGTTGGTGGCCAAGAAGGCGCTGTATGCGCTGAGGTGTGCTTTAGCGGACGGACAGGGGACTTATCCCTCTGGGACGGACCCCTCGGCTGTGCTGGTGGTGAGGTGGGGATGAAACGACCAGTGGGCGACGTCGACGCTTCTTTCTTTGACCGACTGGACAGGACGACTTGGGTTGACTTGAGCTGACTGGGTCGGGCCTGTGACTTTGTACCTTTCCACAGTAACCTCGCCTTGTCGTGACTTTTGTTGTCTTGCAGCGAGCGGCGACCGCAGCGCAGCAATCAAATATTCCACGCGAATTCTAGCGCGACCCGTCATTTGCATCCCAACCCCAAAACCTCCCAAACAATCTCGCAATCTCTCCTCCTGCCCTCTTTCCGCTCCTCGACCGACTGCCTGGCTGGCTGCAAATTGCTGCTGGTTTGTGCTGCCGATACAGTTTTTTTTCTTTTTTTGCTCATCGCCTTGCAAAAGACCTGCGATATGTCATTCTAGCAGTCATTCCCATATTTCTGCACACCGTCATTTCATCCCCGCCTTGTTTGTGTGGCCTTTGAACACAACCCCCCGTTCCGTTGCCGTGCCGCGACCGCCTCGTGCTTCGCAACCGCACCCGCAACTTTACCCCCTCTATCTAGCAACACCGCGCCGATCGGAATCCATGACCTCGGCTGCGACGCCTTTTGGTCTTCAATACCGTCACCATGTCTAGCGCAAACAGCATTAAGGTCGTGGCCCGATTCCGGCCCCAGAACAAGGTCGAACTGGAATCGGGCGGCCAGCCCATCGTCGCCTTCAATGGCGAGGATACCTGTACCCTCGACGTAAGTCCCCTCTTCCCGAGCCGACTCCTGATGGCGCGCATCTATGCGGGCACCCGAACTGACACTATGCCTCGCAGTCCAAGGAGGCGCAGGGTAGCTTCACCTTCGATCGAGTCTTCGACATGAACTGCAAGCAGGCCGACATTTTCGACTTCTCCGTCCGCTCCACCGTCGACGATATCCTCAACGGCTACAATGGAACCGTCTTCGCCTACGGTCAGACCGGTGCCGGAAAGTCTTACACAATGATGGGTTCCAGCATCGAGGACGAGACCGGCCGTGGTGTCATCCCCCGCATCGTCGAGCAAATCTTCACTAGTATCATGTCCAGCCCCAGCACCATCGAGTACACCGTCCGAGTCAGCTATATGGAAATCTACATGGAGAAGATCCGCGATCTGCTCGCCCCCCAGAACGACAACCTTCCCGTCCACGAGGAGAAGAACCGAGGTGTTTACGTCAAGGGTCTTTTGGAGGTCTACGTTTCGAGCGTCCAGGAGGTCTTTGAGGTCATGAGAAGAGGTGGAAACGCCCGTGCTGTCGCCGCCACCAACATGAACCAGGAGTCTTCACGTTCTCACTCCATCTTCGTCGTCACCATTACGCAGAAGAACGTCGAGACCGGCTCGGCCAAGAGTGGTCAGCTCTTCTTGGTCGATTTGGCTGGTAGCGAAAAGGTTGGAAAGACGGGTGCTAGTGGTCAGACGTTGGAGGAGGCCAAGAAGATCAACAAGAGTTTGAGTGCTCTCGGAATGGTCATCAACGCCTTGACTGACGGAAGATCGTCCCACGTCCCATACCGCGACTCCAAGTTGACTCGTATCCTGCAAGAATCCCTCGGTGGTAACAGTCGGACGACCCTCATCATCAACTGTTCTCCCAGTAGTTACAACGACGCTGAAACCCTGAGCACTCTTCGCTTCGGTACACGTGCGAAGGCAATCAAGAACAAGGCCAAGGTCAACGCCGAGCTCAGTCCTGCCGAGCTCAAGTCTCTGCTCGGAAAGGCCAGAGGCCAGATTTCCACCTTCGAGACCTACCTCGCGAACTTGGAGGGAGAGGTTCAGCTTTGGCGTGCTGGAGAGGCAGTGCCCAAGGACAAGTGGGTGCCGCCTATTTCTGCAGATGGCGTCGCCGGAACCAAGGCTGAAGCCAAGGCTCGTCCGTCAACACCATCCCGCCTTCTTCCCGATAGCAGATCCGACACACCAGCCATCTCAGAGCGATCCGGAACACCAGGCCCGCCACTTGACAAGGATGAGCGAGACGAGTTCCTGCGCCGCGAGAACGAGCTCCAGGATCAGCTCGCCGAGAAAGAGTCCCAGTTCACCACAACAGACAAGGCTCTGCGAGAGACCAAGGAAGAGCTCACCTACCTCAAGGAGCACGATGCCAAGACGGGCAAGGAAAACGAGAAACTCCACGCCGAGGTCAACGAGTTCAAGATGCAGCTTGAGCGCTTGCACTTTGAGGGCAAGGAGGCGCAGATCACCATGGACGCTTTGAAGGAGCAGAACGCCGAGTTGACGACGGAGCTCGACGAGGTCAAGCAGCAGCTCCTCGACGTCAAGATGAGTGCCAAGGAGACGAGTGCTGTTCTCGATGAGAAGGAGAAGAAGAAGGCCGAGAAGATGGCCAAGATGATGGCCGGTTTCGACCTTGGCGCCGACGTGTTCAGCGACAACGAGAAGGCCATCACGGAGGCCATTGCTCAGCTGGAAGCTCTGCACGAGATTAGCTCCACTGGAGAGATCGTCAACCCCGATGAGCTTAAGGCGCTCAAGTCACGATTCGTCGAGATTCAAGGAATTGTCCGGCAAGCTGAGCTTTCCGTGTACAGCGCTTCCTCCAGCGAGGCGGACGCCCGCCGCCGTGCCGAGCTTGAGGATCGCCTCCAGACTCTCCAGCAGGAGTACGAGGAGCTGCTCACCCGTAACCTGGGAGAGACCGACGTCGAGGAGATCAAGTCTCGCTTGGAGAGTGCTTACTCCGACAAGCAGACCACCTCCATGCAGCTCGTCGATGAGCTCAAGGCCGAGATCGCCCAGAAGGCCGCCGAGAACTCCAAGATGAAGGCTCTCATCGAGGACCTCCAGCAGAGAGTCAAGGCTGGCACTGCCGCCCCCATGACCAACGGCAAGTCCATTCAGCAACAGATTGCCGAGTTCGACATTATGAAGAAGAGCCTCATGCGCGATCTTCAGAACCGCTGCGAGCGCGTGGTTGAGCTTGAGATCTCGCTCGACGAGACAAGAGAGCAGTATAACAACGTGCTCCGGTCATCCAACAACCGGGCCCAGCAGAAGAAGATGGCCTTCCTCGAGAGGAACCTCGAGCAGCTCACCCAGGTGCAGCGCCAGCTCGTCGAGCAGAACTCGGCGCTCAAGAAGGAGGTCGCCATCGCTGAGCGCAAGCTTATCGCTCGTAACGAGCGCATCCAGAGCCTCGAGAGCCTGCTACAGGATAGCCAGGAGAAGATGGCTTCGGCCAACCACAAGTATGAAACCCAGTCGACCCCTGTCTTTTTCCACACATCAACTGCAGTCAACCCCTCAAGCAAGAAGACCACCGGAGTCCCTCATATTCTCTTCTCGGTGCTCATTCTGTGTCCTGTTGCTAACGACTGCCTTATAGATTCGAAGTGCAGCTCGCTGCCGTCAAAGAAAGGTTGGAGGCTGCCAAGGCTGGTAGCACTCGCGGCCTGAACTCACCCTCCCTTGGAGGATTCAGCTTCTCCGGAGCCGGCAGCCGCATTGCCAAGCCCCTCCGTGGCGGTGGTGGTGACAACCAGGGACCTTCTATCCCCGTCATCTCCAGCATCCAGCAGAGCGAGGGTAACACCGGCAAGCGCAGCAGCTGGTTCTTCTCCCAGAAGTCCTAAGAAGTTCCCTCTTAACTAGCCCTCAACCCCCACCGCCCGAGATGAACAAAGAACATCTTGGGAACGCGCACCCTGTAGAAACGACAAAGCATGCAATTAGACAACAGCTTGGCGCGGACTAGACCGCTATACCCCCTACTGTGTTTAACAGGCGGCAGCTGTTCTTTTATCCCCTTTGCTGCACTACTACTACTACTACTACTGCCGCTGCTGTTGCTGCTCTGCCTCACAGATTCATTTTTCTTTGGTCATTATACTGGAAGAGAAGTTGATTAGACGGCAAAGATTCACAGACAAGGGCCACATGGTCACTTAGGGAGAGGCACTCTTTTTTCTATCGTTTCATCTTCCTCGGTCAGTCGGCTCGCGCGATTGGATTTTGCTCAAGCCAAGCGAGCAGTTCTGGGCGGTCTTTGTCTTTTTGGTTGCTCTGGTCTGGTTTGGGGTGTTAAGATTGGAGGGTGGGATGAAGGGGTTCAGGAAAAAGCGGATGTATATGAAAATATGACGACGCTTTGGAGGTGTGTGGATGATGACACAGAGAGAGTGCGAGAGACAAGGGCTGGCTGGGGGGGAGGATGATGATGGATGAGAAGACGGCTGAGACAGCAATCGTGCTGCTGCATACTCTGGGGCAGTTTGTGTTATGACACGACAAGACCAAGACCCCTGTTACGAACCCAAAGAAATTTCACGGCTAATGACACTAGAATATTCAAATCTGGTATGCTGTGATTGATCAAAACGATTTGTTCTCTTTTCTGCTGTGCATGTGTGTGGAAATAAACTAAACTCTTGATGAGTGGGGAGGGTATAGCAGGAGATGTGCCTCCTGGCCTCCTAACAGTCTTGACAAACAAAAAATCCATCTTCCACCAGTTCCCATGATGTGATACCAGCCAGCTAGAGAGAAACATGTCCTATAAACCTGATACTGGTGGCAAAAAGTCTATTCAAGTCTAACTAGTGCTCAAGGCGCACATTTGAGTCATGAATGTTTCTGACAAAGAAGCAACCAGGATCCATATAACCGCATCTTAGTTCTTGGGAGTAGACTTGCTGGCCATCAGGATAACCTCGGGGATGATGACAGCAGCCATCAGCAGGAAACCAGCAGCGGAGACGGCGATGACCTTGGCGTAGAGGATGACGAGACGCTTCCACGCGGCGCGGGAGAAGGTGGCCCAGGCCTGGCCCATGGTGGCGTAGCCCTTGCCGCCGACGACACGCGGCTCGACCTTGCCCTCGAAGGAGCGATCGAAGGGGATGATGGTGTCGGACTCCTCGGGGAGCAGGGAGGCCTGGACGCGGACGAGGACGACCTCGGCGGGGATGACGACGAGGATGTGGAAGGCGATGCTGATGAGGGTGATGACGATGCTCTTCCAGGCGTCGGAGTTCTGGGGCTCGGTGCCGGGGACGGTGGTGGTCGGGGCGCCGAAGCGGAAGTTGGGGAGGTCGAGGCCGAGAGCCCAGCCGACGGCGATGGGGACCCAGGTGGCGACCTGTGTCGCGAGCCAGTAGGCGGCGACGGGTCGGGCGGTGGCGTCGAAGGTGCGCTTGAAGGGCGGGAGGCGGGACCAGAAGTGCAGAGGGGAGCGCGGGGTGATGACGATGTGGACCCAGGCGGTGCTGAGCTGGACGAGGGAGAGGGCGGCGAGGAGGGTCGCGAGGGAGGCGAGGATGTTGGGGAGAAAGGCGGAGAAGACGCCGTAGAGGACGGCGGTGGCGATGCCCTGGGCGAGCATGCAGAAGAAGCCGCGGAAGTTTGCGCGCCAGCCGCCGTTGGAGGTCAGGAGGCGGTTGATGGAGCGGAGGGAGGAGGTGACGGTGGTGGGGCGGCCTCCGGTGGGCTTCGGCGGGATGGGGCCGACGCCGGGGACGTCGGCGGCATCGTCCTCGTTCAGGTTGACGGGGTCGTAGGCCGGGGGGTTCTCATCCTCGACGATGGCGAAGATGGGGTAGACCGTTTGGATGGTGTAGGTGAGCTGGAGATTAGGTTAGTCATGGGGGCGGGATCGACTGGAGAAGGGAGACTTACGATGAGGATGAGGGGGAGGAAGACGATGAAGTCGGCGAGGATCACGGCCCAGGACCACGAGGGGAGGTCGTACTGGGGAGTGCCGTCGGCAGCTCTCTTGTAAACCGAGTGGGCGCCGTCGGTGGCTCTCTCGTAGAGCGCGTTGGCGATGTGGCGCATCATCTTGGCGGCGGGCGAACTATCAGAAGAAAAGACGATGAAAGGAGGAACTATTTGACGATGATTGAATTTATGAGTTTGAGAAGGAAAGAACGGTAGTCGGGGTGGGTGTCAGACGTCAGAAGATGAAGCGAAATGGGCGCTGGGAATCCTTATTAATGAGTCGTTGGCCTCTGCGCTGCTTCAAGGCGAAAGTCTATGAGTGGTCGGTCCCCCGTGCAAGGTACGTAAGTGTCCCCCTACACCACCGATTAGTGCCAACGCGCTGCTGGGGGCGCTGGGATGGCGACGGCACCGCATTACTAGGCAGCAGGCTGACACAGCCACGCCGTGCCGCCGGCCCACAGATCCTACATTTCGCCCAACACTTGAGAGCAGACAGCGCGAAGAAGATGGCGTTTGTCTCGCCGTCTAGGCCGATTTTTGGCCAGGCACGATGCCAGTCGCCAGGCAGATTTAGGCAGGGCTGGGGCTGCTGGGGGTGGCTGCAGACGCCATGTCTGATTCTGGTCATCTACGAACGAACGAAACGACGGGGTTGAGCCTGTGGACGGCCGTCAAAGTTGATTATTGACAAGGCTGCATGGACACTGCTTCGGATTGTTTCTCTGCCATCCATCGCATGGGAGTGACAGTGAATACGGGCGCTTGCATGAAGGCGTGGTGTTCACGACGTCGTCTGAAGAAAAGTGTGTCAAGCCTCGTATCTCCTTTTCCGATTGTGTCCGAGCGATTCTGGCCCAACTCTGTCTGACCTTCGGTTGGTTCTTGTGTTGCCATTTTGTATCGCTGGGATAGGATATCCATAGATAGAAACAGCTTCGGATTGTTGATTTCTTCATCCGACAGACCGATAATAATGCTTGATATTGCCTCTCTCGACAAATATCTCGTCCAGCGAGGCGAGGATAGGCACGCGACGACGCCAGATCTGCGTTGGTCCGCCAGCGACGGGCGAGCTAAAAAGTACCGCTCATCAATCAGCAAACGCCGATGCAGCCGGAAGGATTCGAGTGTGCTCCATATACGCGAACTGTGCCGGCCACTGGCGTCAATGGCCACCTCAGGGGTCTCTTTCTCGACTTTGCCGTGAACACCTCGTGTATTCCTAAATTTGCATCTTCGAGCCCCTCGTTCATTCGTAAGATGCGGTCTAATGATGGACTCCTGGTGTTGTTGTTAAACGCAGATTCGAAGCCACCTGCATTCTGGCGGGGCCGCCGTTGCATCGTTTCACGCCTCCGATTCAGGGTCCAGTGCGCCCAGCAACTTTCGTTACCTACCTAAGGTTAGGTGCATCTGCAGAACACAAGGTCTCACAGCATAACAACCGAGTGGACTGTGCGCTGAGACTTCCGATTGACATGGAGCCAGCCGCCAGGCACAGCTGGGCTCTCCACTGATTGTACTGTGAAGACCCCACCTCTCAATCCCATCCTGCCTACGTCACTCCAGGTCGAAATAGCTTCCAACTTAACCCCTCTCTCCTGACTCAAAACATCTTCACCACCCATGGCCGGCAGCGCGATCCCGAATTTGCTATCTCTTCGCGGTGCCAGGGCCGGGCGAGGAGCTCGCGGACGTGGAAGGGGTGGCCGTGGTGACGGACCTTCCTCCGCCGGCCCGACGCACGATCAGACGATCCAGGGCACCGACGACGATGCCGCCGGATCCCGTCTGAGTGCCGTTAACGTGGGGTACCTCGACGACCCGTACGCGCGCTTCTTCGTCGACGGTATGGCCGGGCCTCCGCCAAGGAGGCTGCCCATTATCAATCGAGGTCCGTGTCCAGGGTCTGCTTCCGTCGAACATGGAGGCTGACCTTTATCCCAGGCACTTACACGAGAACCGTCGCTCTCGACAGCCTTGTCGACAGTTTTCTTTCCGACGTTAGCGATGGTACCAAGCAGAAACAGATCATCTCGCTTGGCGCCGGCACCGACACGCGCCCGTTTCGGCTGTTTTCTAGGACCAATCGTCCGGGCCTGGTCTACCACGAGCTAGATTTCCCAGTGACGGTGCAGAAGAAGGCCCGTATAGTGCAGGGCGTTCCGCCATTGCGCCAGATCTTGGGGGTTCCTTCGACAGAAGAAAACGGCTCATGGAGTTGTCAGCCATCACCATCAGACAGCTACTACTGCCACGCTCGTGACCTTCGAGAACTCGTTCAAGGAAATGCATCGAATCTTAACGGACTTCGAACAGACACCCCGACACTGATCATTTCGGAATGCTGTTTATGTTACCTTGAGACCGCAACGACCAAAGATCTTGTTGCATGGTTTGTGCAAAAGATTCCCAACATCGCCATCATCATTTACGAGCCCATCAGGCCGGACGACCCTTTCGGGAAGATGATGACGTCCAACTTGGCGGCCAGGAGAATCCGTATGCCAACTTTGGAAAGCTACAAGCTCCCACAGGACCAAGAGCAACGCCTTCGTGAGGCCGGCCTCGAGCATGTCAACGCGTTAACGGTTGAGCGGATTTGGGAGCGATGGGTGTCGTCTGAAGAGAAGGAGAGGGTGGATCACCTGGAAGGGCTTGACGAGGTGGAGGAGTGGAAGCTTCTTGCTGACCACTACGTCGTGGCATGGGGATGGAGAGGCTCAGGATTTAAGCTATTTGATGCTGGCAGACAGCAGTAGTGAGAACTCGCTGATGGAGCATCTACTACGTAAAAAGATACCACACTGATGAACAGAGACATCAGGCAATGTGAGACTAGCTCGGCCCATCCCAACCAGAACGTCGATATTTTACGTGCAACGATCAAGATCCCGAGCTTACAGCAAACGGGCTTCTCTCGTCGCGTCGCGACGAAAGAGACCACTGCAGGCCTTGGTCTGGTGGCAGTTGTTGGTTCTTGGCCCCCATTTGCTTGGGATGTAAACCCTGCTACTGGACGCAGTGCATGCAGGTCAGGCAAGGCAACTGACAATTTTAAGAACACTCTCATTGGCTTGTTGGTCCAACAGCTCTAATTCATCTCCCCGTTCTTTCCCTCGCCGGCTCACACACAAACGCAGTCCTCTCTTGACGCAATTTACCAACATGCCGCATAACAAACTGAATCATCTTCCCATCGAAGCTCTCATCAACATTGCATCACTCATCGACAAACCTCCAGAGCCAGATCTGTCCTCGTTCGCCCTTGCCGGAAAATCCTGCAACGCCGCCGCCGCCTACTTTCTCTTTCAAGAAATACACATCCGACTGACGACGCCCAAGAAGCTGCGTCAAGACGTCGCGAGATGGCTCACCGTTCTCCGCCGCAACTCGTACGAGAGACACGTCCGCCTCCTCGACGTCAAATTTGACTTCGCCACGAAGAGCCCCCCGGGCCCCTGGGAATTCATGCACATGTACACCAGAGAAACTCATTGGCAGTTCGACCGTAGGGTTGAGTACGAGGTCCGCCTCCAGTTTGGGGCTCCCGGGGCGTGGGATCCCCTAGTGGAACTGCTGTGCGCTCTGCCCGGCCTGCGACAGCTGGCCGTCGACCACGACACCAGCTTCTCTCGCCAACTCATCGAAACACTCGGCAGCCATCACTCGGAGTGCCGGTTGGATCTCAGGCGGTTTAACATGCTGCCCCTATACGTGGCGATGGGGAATCGGGCACCCATCGACCGGCACGACGTCGCTCTGCTTCTGGTGGCGCAGTTGCACGAAATCGGTATCGACGAGTATAGCCGTGACAGCGGCAGCAGGAGAGTCCCTAAGCCTCTGCACGTCAACGAGATTGCTTTGCGCGAGCTTCTCCTCGCCGGGCTCGTACCGAATCTTAAAGCGGTTCACATAGGTCCCAACGTTCTCTTAGACAAGCTGCTAAATCACTACCAGTCCGTCGTTTCCGACGCGCCCCGTTTCAGAGAGCTATTGTCCCAAGAACTCGGGAGGCACTCATCGCGCCCTCAAGGGCGCGCGACGGGCGTGATAAATACAGGAATCGGCTCTCTGAATTCACTGACGCTTTACACCCCAGGGGTTCGCAGATTGGATGACTGGTTGGAAGCTACAGACCCAACGCGGCTACGTCGGCTGGAATTGTTCATAGATATGGACGAATACAATATTCTGGACAAGGGCAGGTATTCGCTTTTGAGTTTCACCGAGCTCGAGTTGCACCTCAACCCCCTCGTCTCTCTTCAAGAGCCAGAGTACTGGAAAAAGCAGTTTCCGAAACTCCCGCCGCTGACGTATCTGTCGCTCGTGGGCATCATTACTCCCATCTCATTCAAGGCCGCCGTGGACAGTCTTGGCAGCTCACTGAGAAGGCTCAAGCTGAAGCCGAGTATTCGCACGCGCGGGGATCTCTCACGCCCTGTCCATTTGAAGGCCGACCAATGGTGGAACAGGGAGCTGCTGACTCTCCTACCTGAAGGGTGTCCACTGCTTGAGGAACTGGTAGTCGAGAACTCTGATCTAGGCGATGGTGCGGACTGGAGCATCTGCGAGTCCTTGGGTCAGAATAAGAATCTGAGGACGTTATCCGTGAAGCTGGGCAGTTCGACCGAGGACAAGGCCCTAGCTACAGCCGCCTGGCATGTAATACGGCGACAAGGGTGCCAGCTGGAACGCTTGCTGGTCAACGGCTGCATTGAGGTCCGGAGGGCGGGTTTCGGGGATTACGAGGCTGTGACGGTGCGACTGAGGCGGGGCGGGAAGATACGGGAGCCGCAAGGGGGCAAAGACATCCTGAAAGTTCTGTATGATGGGGGGCCGGTAGTTCCTTGCGACCCCGAGTATCGTCCTCTGAACTGCTCGGCGTGGAACTGCCCGTTCAGGCATAGTAACAGAGAGGGCTGCAGCCAGTGGGGTCATATCGGAGAGACGGAGATGCGGATGATAGAGGCTGCTGCGCAGCAGGCTTTTTTGGGGGACCGTGGTCTTGTCTCTCAGGGATACGATATAGCCTAATATGTCTTTGGTGGCGTCGGTAACTAAGGTATTAGAGAATCGGGACAGAGCTTGATCATTTAAACTTGATCGATACGTTCGGCTTATTTTCGAGTGCGCAAAGAACAGCAGCACCCCGGAACGAGTTGCGAGAAAAAAGAAGGCAGCGTGGTGGGTGGGATTCCCAGATTCGAGTTTTCAGGGCGTAAATTCAAACATCTAGACATAAATAAAGTGAAAGAAGTATCTATGGAATCAACGATGGGCGTGATTGTATCGAGTATCGGGAACTTATGATGGGTCACTCTAGGCAGGGTCATCGTTCTCTCATCGCCTGAATACCGAGACAAACAGGATATTGTTTTCATTTTCGAAATAAATCTCTATCGAACATAAACAATCAGGTAGACATGTTGTAAAAATTGCCAGAGGCCTCGTTCAAAAAGGCAAGCCTTCGACCAGCCAAGCCCCCATGCGACTTGAAAGCACATTCCAAAACATGCAACCCATCGAACGAAGGTGCTCACATTTTGTTTGCTCCCCAGCTGGGCCCGGGCTGTGGTGCGCTGGTCGGCCGGAGCGGATTCCGTGCGCCGAAGCGACGTCGAAATCGCCCCACCGCGCCGACCGCCGCCGCCGGGGCCTGCATCTCAGAAAAAGCGGGTCTCATACGACTACACACCCGGGGTCCGGAAGTTCTCCCGAAATCGCCAGTATTCTAAAATCACAAGGAATCATCATACTTTCCAATAAAGCGCGAATTCGCTTCACGTAAATGCTTCTTCATCACCGATGTATGTCTGTCCGGACCTTGCACAGCGCACTCATCTCATCAATCGTCAGTCACACCCAGCAGTGTGATGTCGAAAAGGTCAAAACGTTGGTCATCTAGTGGAAGAGCACGGGGGCTGGCTGGCTGACCGAGACCCTAGCCAATTACTGGTTTTCTCCGAGAAGTCCCGGCGTAGAAGGAATATGCATCCATTGACCTACCAGATTCCCTCCCGCCTTCACTCGATGCTCCATGGCCCAACACCAGACCGTGTCTCAATATGACTAATATTGAAAGGCGCATCACTGAAGAGCATAAACAGGAACACAATCTACAGATCTAATAGTATTTTATGAAGCTCAAAGAATCTATGTATGGCTCAATGTTCTCATCGAACACTACCAGTAAAGGGCTGGAGCCTAAACTATTAACAGTGGAAGCGGGACAGGCGTGCTCTCCTTGACGAAGTAGATCAAACAACAATAACCGCAGCAGAGCGGGGAAAGGAACCAGGCTCTTTAGGAAAAGACATCCGAACAAACGCACTAAGAAACAACACTACACACGCTTCTTCACATTCTCCCCTTCCCCTTCCCCCTCGTCTCCAACACGGGGAACTCTTCCTGCTGGAACGGGTCCTGCTCGACCTTAAGATCTGGATGACCGTTGGCAGTGGCCTCTTGAAGACTGAGCCTCAACGCCAGTTCAAAATCGTCTTCCTGCGGCGGAGGTCTGCTAGACGACCCGGCGCTGAGCGCCAGCGCGAGTTCCAGATCATCGTCGCGCGGCGTCGCTCTGCTCGAGGACCCCACGGCGTTGGACCCAGCGACGGGCGTGTAGCTCGCAGACGGCGACGTGGACGAAGACCGCTTCGTCTTCTTCGCAGGCTTGGGCTTGTACTTAAACGCGACCTCGTAGTCGCCGGAGCTGTTACCTCGCGGCGACGCGCCCATGTCGTTACCGGATTCCATGAGCGAGAGTCGAAGCGCCTGCTGGATCTGCATCTCATACTCGTCCTCTTCGGGCACAGGAGGGGGCGGCGTGAATCCAGTAACGCTGGGCTCGGGCGTGACGGTGTCGACGGTGCTTTCGCTGAAAGACGAGGCAGTGTCCAAGCCACCGTCGGCCGCCGAGCCCGTGTCGCTAGCACTGGTACGACGCTGCTCCTCAAGCAAGAGCGTCTCCTGGGAGATCATCTCTGCATACTGGATGGCTTCCTCCTCGGTCAAGTCGCCGAATGCACCAACACCGAAGCGGTTACGCAGCCAGGCATCTTCACGAGCCTTCTGCTCCTGCTCTCGGCGGAGTTCCGCAGTTTCGGCGGCGATGTATCCCGAGACGTTACCGCCCTGGCGACGTGTTGCGAGGCGGCCGTGGATATCCGAGTGACGGAGGCGACGCTTCCGGCCGGGTGGTTGAGTGGTGGCACTGTAGGCCCAGTAACGGAGGAACGCCCCGAACGACGTGATTCCGCGCAGGACTGTCGGGTCGGGATCGAGGTAGATGGCGCGTGCAGCCGGATAGGTATCGCCGCTGAGAGCAGGGTTCATCGTCAACATATGACGAGGCACTCGTCCCGCGGAGCGTGCGTTCAGGGTGCGGAGGGGATCAAGGGATGAGGCCAACAGGTCCCATGCTTGAACCAGCCCATCACTCCCACCGTGGACAAGGTAGAGAGCTGTCAGGGCCAGGCAGGTAATTTCCGGCGACTCCGTCTGGATTATTCGCAGAGGCTCGACCTCGGCGTTTTGAGGCTCACGCATGTTCCAAACAACCACGCCACCAGTCTTCGTGCCTATTGCCAGCATACGAGTTCTCCGTCCAGGAATCTCAGCGACCGACTCAGCAGTCTGCGGCGTCATGGTTGGGGTGGCTGCTGATTTCTGGCCGAAGTGAAGAGGGTCCTCGTACAGCGTAAGCAAAGCGTGCGAGGAAAGATCCACGGCCGACGCTGTGATCTCTGACTTGCTGTGGAGGCCCAGCGCCATGGAAGCCATTGTCCATTCGTCCAATGAGCTGAGTGTCGCCGGTGGAGTCAATGAGCCCGTAGAAATGGGTGTCTCATGCCCCTTTGTCGCGTTGTGAGTGATCACAGGCTTCAGCTCGACGAACCCATCTCCGAATAGAGAGTTGGAAGTGGGAACCGTTTCCTCGGGTGGTTTGGCGACTTCGTCTGCACCCGGCTGGGGCGCCTGCGAGACGGACCTAACACACCGCGTGATTTGCGGTTGGGTGTTGTCAATACCGCACCGAATAGAGACGATGATCTCGCCGGCGCCGCTACCGTCGTCGTTGGCGAAGTCAACCTCAATTCGCCTGCGCATATCCCACCCATCGCAAACCTTGCGGAAGTGGGAGGGCTTGTAGCGTAGAAACTTGTCAATCTCGCGAGCTTCCGCGACGAGCTGCTCCTTGCTCAATTTCATGGCGTCCGCAGGGGAACGAGGCGAGTAAGCTCCTCGCAGCGCATGCTTGTCGAGCTCGTCGGGTCGTGCCTGACGCCGAGTGTGATCGATGAGCTGCCAATACACAGTTCGTCCAGCGTACCAAGCATTCTTGGTGACGTCTTCACCCTTGGCTCGATCAACAAGCGACTTCGGCACGTCGACTAGGTAGTAGATCTCACCCAGCGCATTCAGAGCAACTGCCCAGACTCGCTGGGCAGTCTTGCGCTTCTGAGTGTACTGATCATCGACCTTGATGGAGACGATCGGGACGCCTGGACTCAGGACCCAACGGGCTGTCATCTCGCCATTGGTGTGTCGTGGACCACTGCCATCACCCCCTAGAGCGTACGATGTTACGATTCCGAGGGTTGATCCAGTCATCATGCCAACTGTCGAGTGCGTCATGTTGGGTACCGCGGTGGATTTGGCGACCCAAACACTAGAAATTGCTTCTGACAGTTCCGGAATCTTTGGGATGTCGGGATAGGTATCGATGACTCCAGTGTCACTGCCGAGGTATCGACCACGCAGCTCGTTCGTCGGGCGGTAATAGGCACGCCCGCCGGGGAAGCCCTCGCCAGAGAGAAGACCATACGGTTGGCTGACATCCATGACGTTGGGGCAACCAGCAGGTCCGTCGCCAAGCCCATACGGCTCCAGGTTTGGCATCACCTCGTCCAGCTGAAGCGTCGAAAAAGGATCGCTAAAACCCCATTTCTCTACCCTTCCGTTGGTGGGATCGCTGATCGTGCCAACGCCCAAGTCAGCCGCGCCATGAATGGCCATAGGGGGCTTCTTCGTTGCGGCGGCGGAGAAAACGGCGTGTACATGGGTCACAACCCAAGGCAGCTTAGAATTGTAAGTCAGCACGGCGCTCGACTTCTTGCTGCTGCGACTTGATGAACCAATGCCAGATCCCGGCTTGCCCCTCACAAGACCCCTCAAAAGACGAGTTCTCAACAGGTATTCGCTTCTCCAAGTTGCCAAAGGCGTCAGACGCGCAAAGTAGCGCGCTTCGGATCGCACGAATTCGGAGACATCTTGTTCCAGAGGACCCGAGCGAGCCTGCTCTTGCTTTACAGCTAAAGCATCATGGCCAGGGAAGAATCGCAAGAAGGCCATTCGCCAGGCATGAGGGGTGGTGACAAGTGCATAGAAGCGTTTCGACACGAGCGCGACGGCCGAGTGAGAGTCGGGGTGTAGGTGAGATAGGATGTGCGTCAAGATCTCTGCGACACTTGTTAGCTAATCTACCAGCCCAAGATCGCGGAGACATGGCGCACCATTGGGAAAGTCCGCGAGCTGGACACTATCGGGGTGCGGGTTGGATCGCTTGATGACTTTGAAGCCCATCGCCTGCTGCGGCGACGGCGTGTGGGCATTTTCGTAGTCGATAACTCGCTGACCGGCGATGAAGGGGTGAGCATCGGCGGATTGGCCGCTGGCGAAGCTCAACCTGCGAAGCTTTTCGTCGAGCTGAGCAGCACTGACGGCGTCAAGTGACTCACGGCGGCCGTTGTCCGGGACAGAGTGCGGGGATGCGCTGCCCGGGTCGGCGCGGCGAAGCTGGTCGACGCCGATCGGGTGAGAGTGACGAAAGCCATGCTGACTTTGGAGAGAGGTGTCCGAGGGATTGTCTTGTTGGTTGCGCGTTTCCGAAGACTCAGTTGGCCAGTGTTGCATAAAGCTGTGGTGGGGGTGGTGGTTGGCAAGTGGCGGTCGACTGTGCAGGGGCAATATGCACAGTCTCTTGGGATGGGAGAATATGGGTAGGTTGGCAGAGATGCGCGAGATGCGTGATGGAATGCGATGTGGATGCTGCTAGAGCGGGAGCGTGTCGTCGTGTCAAGGTGTATAACTGAAGCTTTTCGTGGTCGCGTTTCGTGACGAAATCCCCGGGAGATTGCGGGCGATGGATTATCTCCGGGCCGGCTTCTTATCAGCGACCTGGAATTTTAAGGTAGGTGCTCGGACCCTTATCATCGTCACAAAATGTCACCAACAAACGCATGAACAAACAACAATGTCATCATCAGTTTGCAGCTCATTTTGAGTCGGAGAATTCCTTCTAGAGTCACTGGAAATTCATCGAGAAAAGTCATAATAACAAACAGAGGTCAAAACGCCGGCGGCGAGTGAGATCCAATCAGGCTTGCCGTGGAAAGCTGACTCCGCCCGTACCGTTGACGCACAGCGCCACAGGACTAAGGCGTCCAACATTCATACTTCACAACATCGTACGTATGGGAAGTGAGACAATCCAAACGCTTCTGACAAAACAAAAACGAGGGAACAAAAGTACAACCGCTGCTTGTGAGCAAAAATGAAGATGCGGCCAGTGTGGATTGAACACACGACCTTCAGATGAATTGAATGAAGTTGACTTCAGTCTGACGCTCTCCCAACTGAGCTATGTCCGCCACGATCTTCGAATTTTGATGTTGAGGATCCGGCCAAGCCCGCTCACAAATTCATGCCAGGTGGGGGCTAGCTCCGTGGTCTTGAGCTCCACTGTGGAGACCGCGTATTTGGTTCAATGAACGTGGTTCCTTCCTTTTCCTTTGGGAATGACTTCGGAAACTCCTGTCAGACAGACAGCTTCGCACAACGGCTCCTGCGTTAGGCAGCTTAGCGGCGAGGTACGAAGAGAGGAAAGGGAAAAGGCTGCGAGTTGGTGGGGCTCTGCTGTCGTTCCTGTCAGCTCACCAATACTTCCGCCTCCTCCTCCCTCTCTAAAGTCCCTTTGCGGACCCCCAAACCACAACCAAGGCGTCCCAAGACGAATGATTCGCGCACATGACAGGTTCTGGCAGGTTTGACACATGCAGAGTCAAGGAGGTGCGGCTGACAATAACCTGACAGATGGATTGGCAACAACCAACAAGCCCGCAATTCAGATCCATCACTCAGGGCACCATTGGGAAGTCAATATCCGTCGTCCTGCTCTCGCCGGCTCTGGTCCACACCGTAATCAACGTCTTCTTTTCGAAACAAGTCCGAGGTGCCAACTTTACAAGACGAATCCTTCAGGCCCCGTCCTCTCAAAGCGGAAAATGCAGATGCCAGACTGTCGGGTCTCCGAATCCCTGAACCAACTTTCAATGGTTCGCTCCATGATTTAGCGGCCGACGAGCGAGCGGCCTGAATGGTGACAGTCACCGTTTGCTGCCAACCGATGTGGTCTCATCGATGCTCTGGGGTCCCCGATTTAGATACTCCAACCCCAGCGGTCTGGTTCAGTATCGTGCCATATCGAAATGGCCTCCGAACACCGACATGATCGCATACGGCTCCTGAGCATAGGGAGTCGATATCGCTACTGCCGTCCAACCTCGACGACGTCTCTCGTTCATCACGTTCAAAAGGCACGGGTATCAGCGATTCTTGCAACGACTCATTGCACGGCCGGAATTCCGCACAACACGAGTCGTGCAGACAGGGCAGAGGACAATCAGCCTGGCACGGCTGCTACCAACACACGGGACCCTGGACTGGGCCACGTAACGATGCCCATGAGTTCACTCCCCCTCCCATTTCCCCTTTCTCTGATCGACCCCGGCTCGAACCCCCAATGTCCATCTTCGGTGGAAGCCCTATGAAGAATGAGGCAAGGGGTGACCCCGTCTTGTCTCCCGAAGCCCAGGGTTCTATTCCTCGATTCCGCGATGATTGACTTCCGACGGTCACTGCACATCCGCGACAATTCTTTGTAAGCTCCGTTTCCGCCTTCCGCGCCCTTGCAGCCATTTGAAACTTCATCACTTCAAAAAACCAAAATGCGGCACAGCACGACGTGACGTGCTCAGCCTGGCCCTGAGATCACGCTGTGGTCGCACGGAAACACAGTTGCTACGGCTATTACTGAAGCACGCGACTACAACGCTTCGATTGCTTCAACCCCACGGAATCGGATCAGGCATTCACGTATCTCGCATCCCAAGATTTCCTCCAGGATCAATCATTTTTCACAAAGCCCGTGCTCGCGGCGCACTGACAGAAGGACTGAAGTCAGGGAAAACCGCGTCAAGAATCCCGACATCCGGACCCGGATCCGGACCACAGGTTAATCTGTGAGCATTGGCCTCTCATATTCACCAAGTCCACTCAAACACAACCCACTTAAACTCACAAAACATAAGACGGAGTCAATCTGAAAAAGAACGAGCTTCGTCGACCCAGAGTGACGTAGGTCTCCGCCCGGTCACCCAATCCCTTGGGCCGCGCTCTGACACTGACAGAGTCCGAAATCACACTCTCATTCTCGGCTCCATCGCAGCGTAAATGAAATGGATGGGGAAAGCCACCCGTTCAGAAACCCCGTCGGCAATTTCACTCGGCTCTTCACCCGCGTTCTGGACTCTGAATCCAGATCATCAAACCACGTCTTTTCGGATTTCTTGAGACGGGCAGAAAATTGGGCAACGAGGAGTACTCCGGCCATGTCGGCAAACACTGACACGTCGAGACGAACGCGGAAGCTCCAGTTTTGACCCGTTTCCCGCTCACACCTCCTTTACCGTTCCGGGCGTAGCGTCGCTGTCAAAAAACGGCTGTCAAAAGCCAAAACGGCTGTCATCAAAGAAACTTTCCGGCATCCAAAGTCTAAACTTTGCGAAATCCCATCAAGATCCAGGGGCTGGTTTGCTGGTCCCTGGAAGCCACTCAAGAAGAGAAAACTAAAATCCAGGGACTGTGAACTTTACCGCCAGGAAGGGTATCGTGTCTCATGAGGAAGCTGGCCAGCTGTGAACTCTCTAGCAGAAGCCCTGGGCAATATTTGCCCCCTTGCAAACACACGTTCAAGGAGACATCAGATCATCCCACCGAGAGACGACAAGTTCAAGGGGAAACGGACGGCTCATCCGCACATAGCCTCGCCCTTTCCCCTTTGCAGTCCATGTCGGCCGTCGCTGGCTGCATTCCGTTCCCCGCGGTTCCGGCGTCGCCTCTCGAAATCCAGAAAAAAAACGTTCAGGTCAAGTCTCTAGTGTAGAGAAGGGCCCCCGCTCGGTGAAGGATCCCAGTCGCGGGAGTTACGAAACTAAGAAAAATCGACACATCGGTCTCTTGTCAACTTGACAAAAGCTGCGGCGAATCTGACGAAAAAAAGTCTCTAGCTCGTCAACAAAGTTCACAACTCGAGATCCAGCAACCCAACCGTGCCTGACCGGACCCGAACCCCTGGTCCGTCTCCCGCGGGCCCTCCCGCTCGCCTCCGTTGCCCTCCAGGCCAGATGGAGCATCTCTGGGAATACACAAGTTTCGAATACCCACCAACCTCAGAAAAGGCCAATGATGCCCAGAACACGGATCCATGGAGGCAACCCCGGCGACAAACAACGGGAACCTCGTCCCCCGAGAGTGGGATAATAACAACAGAAAAAGAAAAAACGAAAACAGGAATTTCTCATCTTCGACCCTTGGTCGTTGACACCTTGAGGTTGCAATTGCATACAATGTACAGCGACGCGGTGCATGGCATGGCCTGGCCTGGCATTGCACCTTGCCTCGCCTCACAGTACCGTACGAATCGCACGCCACGCTCACTCGGAGCTACTTCTCCTAATCCCCGGCCTCGGCCCATAACAACTTTGGCACCACAATCCACATCTTTTGATTGTTTCTGGCATCTGGTATCTGCAGTTGTACCTGCCTCCCTCCCTCCCTCCCTATGCATACACGTGTACACTACCATGTATCCTTACGGACCGCTGTCACCGTTCACACGCAATTCGCCGCGGCCCTCCCGTCCCAAAACGGGCGACCCGTTCGTCCTCGACCTCCCCACCGCGCCCCCAGCCCAGCCGTCGTGCCGCGGCTCCGGAGAACCTCCCGACATTGGACGTCATGAACGGGCAGATTGTCCGTTCCGACTCATCTCAGTCTCATCACACCTCTGCCTGCCGCCTCCGTCCCTCCCCATGCAACAATCACATTGACCTGGGCAGCGCAGACCACCCCTCCCAGCGAGGCTATGAAACGGCCTTGCTGGTCTTTCCCCCCAGTGAACCTCACCAGGCCCCCTAGACCTCGGAACATGAGCCGTAAAATAGGTAATAATCCCTAGCCCGGTCTTGCGCCAGCCGCCTTTGGCCGCGGTCTCATTGGCTCGTTCGTAAGAGAGACTAGGCGCCCTCCCCCGTGGCTGGCCGATTCTGAGACGCAAATTGCTGCACATCATTCGGGTGCATCTTCGCAGATTCGAAGACGCACCTCAGATCCCGGCGCCGCCGAGCACGTTGTTCGAACACGTCGGAGATTGTTTGGACAACCAAGCAACCCAGCCCAGCCGAGGTTATTGTGTGAATTCCTAGACGCTTGTTGCCACTGCCCGTACGGGAAATTCGATTTCTGCAGCTCAGGTTTCGTTGGATATCGACGGCACACTTCGTCGACAGCACAGAGTCACCACTCGGTGGATCTCGACCCGCAAGGCCCGGTGACAGCACACTGCGAAGACAGGGCAGTTATGCCAGGTAGGTAGCAGTCCTCGACGACCAAGACGCAGAGCCCACGCCGGAATCGTGCGCGGATACCACGCCGTCGTCATTGAGCAATGAGAACTACCTGATCCCCATTAACCGGTGAGGCAATGGATCCGGATCCCATGCTCAACGCGCTTCGATTCGACGTCAACGACAAGTCCTGGTCTCGCCAGCGCCGGTGGATGTCTGCTCTCGGAG